CCTTGATGGACTAATGAGTCAATCCAGGAGAAGACAAACTTCATGTATTCAAGGGTTTAATACAGTCATTCTCTGGCCAACATTTAATAAAACTCTGCAAGATGTCTGGGGTGTCTTAGAATTCACCCGCTCTAAATTCACTCATGCACAGGGTACAGATAAGCATGCTCTCAATTTTTGGGAGCAGTTCCAGATGCAAAAAAAAGAATTTTAGTTATATTTTTATCTTGGCAAGTTTACAAAGAATTCTTACAGATAAAGGTAGAGAAACAGGACAGAATCAGAGCAGAACTACAGTACTGCTGCTTTTGGGGAACAACCTGTTGTGAGAGCTACAGTCCAGTATTTCTACTGAGAACTGGAATTTTCCTTTTCAAAGGAGACCCTTACTAATAGGAAGCAATGGAAAGTTCTAAGCATAAACCTTTTGAACAATGTGAAAGAGGAACAAGGCAAGTGGCAGAGAGGAAGTAAGTTGACTGTGTGAATATATCCTGAATAGCTCAAATCAACGACAAGCAATGCACTCTCAAAGTCAAATGAGTTTAAACCAATACAAGGATTACTCCCAGACTCCCATTAAACAGTTATTTGATCCTGTATTCCTATTCCTAATCTATTATCAACTGGGGCAGAGAGAATGCAGAACTGTTTTTTCTAAATACCACCACTCTGTTCACCACCCTGAGCCAGATGTCACCATCTACCAACCCTATGAACCCACCCACAAGCTTCTATGACCTATGTCTACAACCATTCTGTTTACCCAATGACTAATTATTTGATGTCCCTCCACGTTACACGGACAATTAAATTAGCACAATCTTTTCGAACAGTTAGTTTACTACGAGGAATTCTAGCTACGTCAGACCCACTATGTAATTATAATACAGTTATTTTCATAGACTGAGGCACTTATTATATTTCCATACTGGACCAGACTATGGTTCATTTACTTCAGCATTCTGATCAAAACTGGCAAGCCAGATATTACAGCACAGCCAATATCATCTCTATTAGTGCATCTGTCTGTAAGAGATTCCCTCTCTTGGGCCCAGCTGGCTATCATGACCAGTCTATCAGCCATTTTTAAGGCATTTTTCAAGCATATAACGATAAATAGAACTGCCACCATCTTAATGCCAGAATTTCCAACATCATTTAGAAACCAACATCTTGCCTATGAAAAAAGTATGGCAGAAAACCTGCATGAATGATCTTTCTACCAAGACTTGTACAACCTGATCCTATCTTATGTTGACTTGAAAATTACATCTCACACAGTTCAGTAGGGCATACTCCCAATAAAGCATGCATGGAGAACAGATTGATGGAGACATTTTAGTGCTCAAAATAGACACATTATTATTCAATACCTTAAGAAACAGAGATGGACTACGCACCTAGTCCAAATACAATTACCCTGCTAATTCAGTGACATAATGTTTTAAAATGTATTTATTTAACAAGAGAGGGTACTACAAGATGAAGAAACTACTTTAGGAAAACCAGACACCTTTAAAAAAAGAAGTCCGGAACTTGCTCACCTAGTGCTGTACTGCAAAAGGGGGGAAAAAAAGAAAACTTGCATATTTTTTTTAAAAGGCTACAATTTATCTGTATTAGAAGCTACCGTCTCTTTTCTCTCTCCCTCTAAGGCCCCACAACAGTTAAACAGTGCAACAGTCCATAGCAGGGCAAAGTACAAAAAGCAGGGACAGCAGATAATATTAAGAATCCAGCTTAACAAGAATGAAGTTTTGGATCAGAATAGAGACAGTAAATTAATATCCCTCAAAAAGTATAATAAGCCTATTTGGCCATACGTAAAAACGCTGCTCCTTAAACCCCAGCATTCTAGAAAAAACACATCTGAAGAAGTGGCCTCTAACCCACAAAAGATTATGATGGGATAAACTGTTACTAGTCTTTTAAGGTGCCACAGTCTCCTGCTTCTTTTCACCACAATGAAAACCATTCATGAGCATCTTACTCCAGTGTCTTCCAGCTTCCCCTCCCCAGCATTTCCCATCAGGGGCTAACCAAAGATAACACTTCTGCACTTTGAGTCAGATGGGGAGGAGCCTCTTTTTCCTTACTACTGCAGTTCTGAGTCACAACTGCCCTGCTCATTCAACAAGAGGGGTGGGTGTACTCCTCCTTTTCAGTTCCCACAAGAACTGGTGAAAGTGCCAGCTGGCTCTGAAAGTGACACTCTGATAACTGCCCCACATGGGTGTGGGGAGGAAGAAGCAATTTGTGACTAACAAGTGAGGGGGGGGGGGCACCAGGCAGGGTTTCAGCAGCTGAACCATGCTGCCTTGTAAAACCCTGCAAAAAAAAATAAATGGCAAAGTGTATGCACACACCCTTACCTGGAACTACACATATGCTTCCTTATAGCCTGACCCTACTGTATCCTCTCCTCCATCTCTAGGCATGAGCCTTCAATGGAACTTCACCTCTAAAATGTATTTCCCTGCCTGGCAACCTCTGCCTCTATTTCTCTCCAAGTGCTGCCCCACCTTACCTGCCTGATCCTCACTTCCTAAGCTTCTTAACTACCTACCCTGAAGTGCACCATGAACCTCTAACCTCTTATGCTCACAGACTGACTGATCCTGCCTTACATCACCGCTTCTTACTATACACACTCCTCATTCTTCATACTCTGACATTAAAGTCCATACACAACTACAACCTTCAATCAAAGTCTCACTTCACTCTCCACCAACAACCTATTCTCCAAAGCTGTAGATATCTCTACTAACAGTGTTTCTGCTCCAACATAGATGTTTGTTTTTACTTCATTTACACCCTGCCGTTCTCCCCAATGGGGACCCAAAACAGCTCACACTGTTTTCTTCCTCACAACCTTGTGACGTCGATTAGGCTGATAGTGTGTGACTGACCCAAGGTCACCCAGCAAGCTGCCACAGTAGAGTGGAGATCCCAACCCAGCTCTTCCAGATCCTACCCTAACACTCTAATCACCATGCAACACTTGGGTCTAGATTCTCATTTGTATCACCCCAACTCCTTTGTAGTAACCTGTAAGTTTCTTTGGACTGTACACCTCAGCTCAAAACTACTATTTCCTTGTTTTCCCAGGAGTGACCACAAATCACCCCCAAACTCTCTTAGAACTATACTCTCTCAGCCTGTCCTCTGTGTTTCATCATCTCACTTCCTTGTGGCACACCCTTAAAGCCCATCAAATCTTCTTTAAACCCTTATTATACTTTCTACCCCAACCTTTCATCCAGCCTTCACATGTAACACCAGCCTTCCTTACCAGGTCTGCAAATTTTGCTGGATGATACAAAACAAAAAAGCCCACCCCATAAAAATAGGTGAGCTGTTCTAAGAATAACCAATCAATAGTGGGAATCTATCCACTACAGTATTTCCATAATTTATACCTTATTCTTAGAGCAGTTTGCTTTTTGCCTTGTACATTTCCCAGAACCACTTATACCAACTCCCACTCTACATCTTGGCTCCTGGGGTCTGGCATCCCACCCAGCCCTTGTCACAACTCTCCCCACCAGGGCCTTTCCTTCCCAGGTTTAGCAGATGGGCCTTTATCCAACTCTCCCAAAGCTTCCAAACACAATCAAAGCACCCCACACACTTGTTGCCCCCCTCAAACTCTGTAACCAAAACAAAGTGAAGAACATATTAACAACCTCTGAACTAAGCTCTATCAGCAGTTTAACCTTTTCCACTACCACTCCCCATCTCAAGATATGTTGCCCTCAAGATGCCCCCTAAATGTCCTAACTCAAGTTTAGAAGCTCTCCTCCATCAAAAATGTTATTAAAAAAGAGGAGACTGCTAATGACAGCCTACCAAAGACCAACAGAAAGGACCCTCCTCACTTCTAACCCCTACCCCCCAGAAAGAATTATAATCTCACACAGACTCCTTCACAATATAACCCTTAACCACCCAACTACAGTCTCAAGAACACCCCAACCCCAGATATGTGTGTTCCTGGAACCAACAGCATGCATCCACACTTTGGGGGTTTCCTCTCTTCTCCGTGTGAAAAGCTGACCACTTTGCTGCTGCTTCCATGGACCTCTACAAGACCTAGTAATTATAGCCCTTTTCCCCTCAACTATTCCCACTCCTCCTGGTTTTTCTCTTAGCTAGTTTGTATGTGTTTAAGTGTGCTTGTGTGTGTATTTTGGCCTTTTATTTCTCTTTTAACAAAAAACCTTTCTGGTTGAACATCTGCCTGCTGCTTCCTGGACCTCTACAAGATTTGGTAAATATTACCCTTCCCTAAAAACTTTCCCACTCCACCCCCCCCGCCTTTACTTAGTTTAAAAAAAAGGAACACCCCAACTCCCAATGAACATGGAAGTATAAGTCCAGATGGGAAACCACATTCTACTGTAGCAGCCAAACAGAAGCTCAGGAGGACCTTAAAGACTTACAAAATTCATTCCTGACTAACCGTGCATGAGTCAGAGCCCAATTTCTACATCTAATGCTGTGACTCAGAAGAGTCTATACTTGAACACCTTTTGTCAATCTCTAAGGTGCTCTTGGACACCTGCTTTATTTTACACACATTGTGGGGGGGGGGACAAGACTGACTCCCACACTCCCAAAAGCCAGGCACTCTCTTTAGCATAGCGTCCCCCAAATATACTTCTATCCTGGCCCCAGACCACCGTACTCCCGGGCTCTCTCCTTGGCAACTTCCCCTTAGAAATCCCTGTGCTTCCCCCCACCCCCCCGAAAAGCAACAGCAGAAATTTAAAGGCTTCCTACCCATCCACCCCAAATATTTTTTTAAAAAAAAATCAGCACAGTCTCTCTTGTCCCTAAATGTAAAGAGCACAAACCTTCACCCACCCCTCGCCTAACAGGTCTCCCTTCAAATCCCAGCTTAACCCTCCCCCAAAAAAGAGCATTCGAAGGCCCCACAAGTTGCATCCCTCCTCCACCACCGTCCCCAACCAGGGCCTGGCCGGCCTCTCACCCACCGAGAGCATTGAATGTCCAGGCGCAGAGCGGGCCGGACGCCTCCCACACGGCCAAGGCGGGGAGGACCCCTCTGCCTGCTTCAAGGCGTGGAAGTGGGCCAGAGCCGCGGAAGTAGGGGAGGGGAAGGCGGAGGAAGATGAGCAGGAGGAAGAAGACCGCGCACTGCCCCAACACCACGACGTCGCGTAGCAGCCCCCAAACCGGACCTGACCGGCCGACGACGCGACGCACGCGCGAAAGGGTGAAAAAGACAGGCCGCCACCCACCAACCACAAGGCCCGCCGGGAAACGGCCCCGCCCGCGCTCCCTCGCGCAGGCGCACAGCACCCACACCACCCTCCGCTCGTCGCCCAATGGTACGGGCCGACGTCCCCTTTCCCCCACACCGCAAGTAACCCTCCCCTCGTTGCGCTCGCCCACCGCATACAATGGTACCGGCAAGGATTGGTATCTGAAGCGGTGACTCACGAAAGCGCATACCCTGCCACATATTTTGTTAGTCTTTAAGGTGCTACTGCACTCTTCCTGTATTCAAGGCCAGAGTAAAGGAGATGGTACTTTCCGCCCTGCGGTACAGACGGACGAACACCCCCGAGATGGAACGGTGGTACGCCCCGCTTAGTCTGGAAATAGGACCGAGACTCTGTTCAAAGCAGCGCAACTGAGCTCTGAAAACCTTGTGCTCGATTGGTCAGCTATAAATTAAGTTTCAAGAAGAAAATTCCTGAACAATTTTGAGTTTCGCGGCACTTGAAAGACCTAACGAACGTGTATTGTGCCATAAACCGGGGGGGGGGGGAGAATCCACTTTCCAAGGCGCAGGAAATATTACTTTAAGGAGGACCAGAGTAGATAGTAAGAGTTCCCCCAGGTCCAGGACACTATTGGCACACATCAAAAATTGCATATGCTGTTTTACTTTTATAGGTGCACGTTCATCCATAATTAGTACAATTTAAATTATTCCAGTGGGTTGTTAGTCTATAGCAGCAAAACAAAACAAATCCAGTGTCACCGTAAAGGCTATCAAAAATTAGGCTGGCCAGAGTTTTTATGGGTTTCAACAGATGCACTGGAGAGTTCAAACGCACTAAAGCTTATGCTAGAATACGCTTTGTCTTTCTGATGCTGGTGGATTTGTCTTTTGTTATTTCACTAGAAATATAGTTCTCATAGTGCAAGCTCGGCACAAGACACTCAAATGTTTTCAAAATGCTCCTTAAGCAAAATAAATAATTTTAGGATAATTAGTTCATTTAAAAATTCTTCCTCTCTATGGCTAGTTGGGAGTGGTCCACACACATTCTAAATAGATGGTTGACTCTTTTGCCTGGATCCATGCTCTGCAGTGTAATATCTGGACTGAAATCTCTCTAATCATTGAATGTAACACTTTTCTAAACTTAATCATCCCAATGTCTCCAGCTTTTCCTCATAGGAAAAGTGCTCCAGCCTCTTGATCATCATAGTAGTAGCCTTCTGCTGTACTTTTTCCAGCTCCTGTTTGTCTGTGTTTTGATTGGATTTATTTCTGTTATGTATTATGTGTATAGTAAGCTGCTTTGGGTCCCCATGGGCAGCCCCTCTTCTGTCTGTCCATCTGCTTCTGTTTCTCATATCCACACACATACTGTAAGGAATGCAGTCTCTAAGATGGCTAGAGTTGAGTCCAGTAGCACCTTAGAGACCAACAAAGGTTCCAGGGTATAAGCTTTTGAGAGTCAAAGCTCCCTTCGTCAGACAGAATAGAAATCTGAGTCCTTTCATCTCCATTTCTACTCTACTGTGTCTGACAAAGGGAGCTCTTGAAAGCTTATACCCCGGAACTCTTTATGGTCTTTAAGATGCTACTGAACTCAACTCTTAACTGTTCCACTGCAGTAGAAAAGAGTAAGAGTCCAATGGCACCTTAAAGACTTGAGGTGCTACTGGACTCTTACTCTTTTCTACTGCTACAGATAGACTAAGGCGGCTACCCATCTTGTTCTACTGCAGACCAACACAGCTATCCTCTAAAACAGTCTCTAGATGGTGCTTGCTGCAACAGGTATGTGCATTAAGTACAGACGTACATTCTTCAGAAGTACTGACGGCAAATTAATTTAAAATTCATGTGATTAATCACTGATTTTACTGATGACAGCCGGTCACGACTCAGGTGGCGTGTCACCTGATACTGCCACCACTCTCGCTTTAGGATCCCTTAAAAAGGCCCAGAGCTCCCTACCAAGACCTTCAGACCTCCCTTGTGTGGCCGAAATAAGCCTGAGGACCAGGCAAACTAAACAACAAGGAAAAGGTTTATTTTTACAGGAGGTCAGCCCAATATGGGAAACAAACAAGGTGCAAGAACAATCAGTAAGAGGTGAAAAGAAAAGAAACCAAATGCCCTAACGTGTCTAAACTTAATGTCCCTAGCTCACTGTCTCAAGTGGGCCTCAGTCGGCTCACCCTTCCTCTCAGGATGAGGGTCTCTTCCCTGCAGTAGCCTTCCTTCTGGCTCTGCTCTCTTGGAAGAAAGAACAGCTCTTTTGATGTACCAGCTCTTTTATTATAAGTCCCCTTTCTCTGTAATTGGCTAATTTTGGTGCCAAAACCTCTCAGGGACTTCTGGGAGTTGTAGGCCTGGCGTCCTCCCACTGCTACTCAGGCTCCTTGCTTGCACAGCCCAGATCATGACACAGCCAATTGGTATGTTTTTACAGATACAGGGGCTATTTATTGCTTTACTGGGAGCAGGAAAAGAGGGGGGAGTAAAGCCACACACATACTTGGGAATAACCCAAATAATGATGGGGCTTACATACATGTAATGAAGTCACAACTGAATTATAGCGACCCCAGAAAGGGACTTTCAAGGCAAGTGAGCAGCAGAGATTGCCATTACCTTCCACTGCAGAGCCTACCTTGGTGGTCTCCTATCCAAGTGCTGACCCTACTTAGCTTCCAAGATCTGAGGAGAACACATGGGACACATGTAGTGACCCTATACTGAATCAGACCCTTGGTCCATCAAAGTCAGTACTGTCTACTCAAGAGTGGCAGTGTATTGTATTCCTGGTTTATTTAGTATGTTTTAACATTCTAAACATCTTCTGTGTTTGTGAGTGTGTGTTTTAAGTGCCGTCAAGTCACTTCCGACTTATTACAACCCTATGAATTAACATCCTCCAGAATTTTCTATCATTAACAACCTTACTCGGTTCTTACAAACTGAAAGCCATACTTTCCCTTACCGAGTCAATCCATCTCATGTTGGATCTTCCTCTTTTCCTGCTGCCTTCAACTTTTCCTACCATTATTTTGGATGTCTTACCTTACATCAAAATAAATTGCCTTCCTGGATCAAATCAAAGACCCATCCAAGCCAACATCTTGTTTCCAACACTGCTGGTATGTGACAGCAGCAGCCCTCTCCTCATTTTCTCTACTAGCATCTGGTTCTCTCTCATGAATCGCTGCCTTGACATGACGAGAGATCTTGCATGGTTCAATGAAGCTGTGGGCTATGCCATGGAGGGCCACCCAGGATGGAGAGGCTACAGCAGAGAACTCAGACAAAATGTGATCCACTGGAGAAGGAAATGGCAACCCACTCCAGTATCTTTGCCAAGAAAACCCCATGGACAGTAACAAAAGGCTAAAAGATACGACGTCGGAAGACAAGCCCCTCAGGTTGGAAAGTGTCCAATATGCTACTGGGGAGGAGCAGAGGGGGTAAGTACAAGTAACCCCAGAAAGAATGAAGTGGCTGGGCCAAAGCCAAAGGGACGCTCAGTTGTAGATGTGTCTGATGGTGAAAGGAAAGTCCGATGCTGCAAAGAACAATACTGCATAGGAACCTGAAGTGTAAGATCTATGAATTAAGGTAAATTGGATGTGGTCAAAAATGAGATGGCAAGATTGAACATTGACATCTTGAGAATCAGTGAACTAAAGTGGAGAGGACTGGGCGAATTTAACTCAAAACACCATTATATCTACTACTGTGGCCAAGAATCCCGTAGAAAAAAATGCTGTGGCCTTTATAGTCAACAAGAGAGTGAAAAGGCAGTAATGGGATACAATCTCAAAAATGACAGAATGATCTCAGTCCAAATCCAAGGCAAACCATTCAACATCACAGTAATCCAAGTCTATGCCCCAACCACTGACACAGAGGATGCTGAAATGGACCGGTTCTATGAAGACCTACAACACGTCCTAGAACTAACACCCAAAACATATGTCCTTATCGTCATAGGGGACTGGAATGCTAAAGTAGGAAGTCAAAAGGTAACCGGAATAATGGACAAGATTGGCCTTGGAGAACAATATGAAGCAGGGCAAAGGTGAACAGAGTTTTGTCAAGAGAACACGCTGGTCATTTAAAACTCCCTCTTCCAACAACCTAAGAGGCGGCTTTACACATGGACATCACCAGATGGACAACACCGAAATCAGATTGATTATATAATTTGCAGTCAAAGATGGAGAAGCTCCATACAGTCAGTAAAAACAAGACCTAGAGCTGACTGTGGCTCAGATCATGAGCTACTCATTGCAAAATTCAGGCTTAAACTGAAGAAAATTGGGAAAACTACTAGACCATTCAGGTTTGACCTAGATCACATCCCTTATGAATACACAGTGGAGGTGAAGAATATGTTTAAGGAACTAGATTTAATAGAGTGCCTGAAGAACTATGGATGGAGGTTCGTGACATTGTACAGGAGGCAGCAATCAGTACCTTCCCAAAGAAAAAGAAATGCAAGACAACAAAGTGGCTGTCTGATGAGGCTTTACAAATAGCAGATAAGAGAAGGAAAGTGAAAGGCAAAGGAGAAAAAAAAGATTTGCCCAACTGAATACAGATTTCCAGAGATCAGCAACGAGAGATAAGGAGGCCTTCCTGAATGAACAATGCAAAGTAATAGAGGAAAACAATAGAATGGGAAGGACTAGAGATCTCTTCAAGAAAAATTGGAGAAATCGAGGGAACGTTCCATGCAAAGTTGACCATGATAAAGGACAAAAATAGTAGGGACCTAACAGAAGCAGAAGAGATTAGGAAGAGATGGTAGGCATACACAGAGTAACTATACAAGAAGAACCTCAGTGTCCTTGACAACCACGACAGTGTGATCACTGACCTCAAGCCAGACATCCTGGAGTGCGAAGTTAAATTGGCCTTAGGCAGTATTACTAACAACAAAGCTAGTGGAGGTGATGGTATCCCAGCTGAGCTATTCAAAGTCTTAAAAGAGGATGCTGTTCAAGTGCTGCACTCAGTAC